CTATGAGTGGGACCTGAACCTCCTGCAGAGTGTGGGGAGCAGGGAGACTTTCTGTGGAGAAAAAATACACCTCATCAGGGCCCACCTCAGCCATCTCCACCCGGGGCAGGATCGTCCCTGACTGTCTGTTCCCCTGCAGAGATGGAGATGCCCCATCTGGGCCCACCTAGGTAAGTCAGGTGAAAACAGGAGTTTTTAAGCACATGAGGAGTCCTGGCTCCCAGCCCCCCTGCTGTAACTCACTAGACCCCACTCCCCAACCAGCACCTCATCCTGTCTCCCATTGGAAGATCTCGACTCTTCAGCAGCTGTTGGGCTTTGATTTGCTGGTTTGGGCTGCAGCCACTAGATGGCGACATGACTCATGCAGCAGACAGAGCCCTGGCTCAAGGGTTCTCCCATGTCGCCTTTGGGGGACCCCCACCCCACACAGGCTCTCCAGGTGTCTTACCACTCGTCTGGATATTCCCCCAGCCGGTGACCCAGCACAGGGTGCCATTCGCGATGGAATCGCTGCGGTCAGGAAGGCAGACGGGGAGGATGTAGGTGGTGTAGAGAAGGGGCGTTCTTAGGTGCACCAGGGCTATGTCTGAGGCATAGCTGCTGGGGTTGTAGTCGCTGTGGATTATGACCTGTGACACAGCAGAGATGAAGGCGTTTGCACTCTGAATATTCAGCTGGTATTTCCCAAGGGAAACAGAGTAATCAGTGACAGGCAGACTCCTAGGAGAGGGGGAGACATTGGGCAGGAGTTTGTTATTATATTCGCTACCACAGAATAGAAATGCAGCCACCTCTGGGGTGGGGCATCTGGGGAACAGCTGCACATAACACCACATACGATGGCTTGCCTGGGGTTGAGATGCAACCACCGCTGGGGTGGGGTAGATGGGGAACAGCCTGTGGCGAAGTGGGAATTTTCTGTAATATTTTTATGAACCCTATATGTGCCTCAGTTTCCTCATTGGGTGTAAAAGGGTTAAGTCTCTCAATGGGGCAGCACAGGAGAAACAAGGGGGAGAGGGGCAACATTGCTGTCTGGCACAGACTGTGCGGGTCATTGCAGGCCCAGCCGAGGCCAACCCTATGTCAATGGGGAATCTGAGAAGAGGATGAAAACCGCAATAGTCAGAAGATTGAGATCTAGCAGCCAACGAGCTGAGGAAGGTGGATTCTATCTGCATCTCTGCAGGGATCTGAGCAGAAGCTAGCCGAGAAGAAAGAACTGAGAGCTGACAGCCGGGGGATAAAGGGTTGGCCAAGGTTTGCGAGAGGCTCAACGGATATGTCTACGCTGCACTAAAAAACCCTGCGGTGCCGAGTGTTCAAGCCTGGGCTAGCTGCCCCAGGCCAACTGCAGCCGTGCCACAGGTCTCTCATTGCAGTGTAAACGTACCCCAAGAGACAGCGGCTGAAATGGAGCCCAGAGCAGGCTGGGGAGCGCTGGCTTGGCCAGATGGCCTCTATCTTCACCGTGGTTTCTCTGAGCCAACCTAAGGATTTCCCAGAGCTGTGGTCCAATTGATTAATTAACCGTACCCTGGTATGACAATGCTGCCTGGCGTCACTGCAAATCCTGGCTGAGGTGTGTGATGAAGTGGGAATGTTCTTAATGTTTTCACTGAATACTGTGTGGGTGCCTCAGTTTCCCCTACGCTTTTCTTAAGTATCTAGGGTTCAGGGAGGGATTGTTGCGGAGCCCGAGAGGGCCAGTGTGATGCTGTCTGCACAGAGAATGGCCGACGCCCTGTCTCCTGGCAACTGATGGCCTGGGACCCTCTCCTGCAAGGTGCCAACTGAAGGTGTTGGAGAACAAAGAGATCAGGTGGCCTCCTGGCCCGGGAAAGAGACAAAGGCCAGAGGAGGGGCTGGAGGAAGTTTCAGTTTAGAGCTAGCTGGGGAACGGGAGGGAGGCCCAGAACTGGGCTGAGGAACAGCCTGGGGTACTCACCGATTGAAGCAATGAGCCGCAGACACCACCCATTCCCCTGTGATGAGGGACCCTCCGCAGATGTGGACTCCATTGTATCGGATGCTGGCCTGCCAGGGCCAAGCCCCATTCTGGGCATTCTGCCCTCCTACGATACGACTGGAGGCCACTGGCTGCCCACAGTCTGGGGAGAAAAGTAGGGAGGGGTGTGAATAGAACCCAGGAGTCCTGGCTCCCAGCCCCCACTGCTCTAACCCACCAGACCCCACTCCCCTCCCAGAGCTGGGGACAGAAAGTGTCGAGATTCCTTACTTGACTGGAACTCCTCAGCACCTAGAAGAGAAAGAGATGGATGAGTGAGGTGTGAAAAACACACACAGCCCAGACCCCCCCAGCAGGGGGCAGCGCTGCACACACACACACACACACACACACACACACACACACACACACACACACACACACACACACACA